CACACACACACACACACACACACATCTGAGTTCACAAATGAGTAGCTGAGAGAGCCCTTGGTTATGTCTTGCAGATTTCCTGTCTAGCACTATAGTGTTTGCTTGAGCTTCTTCTCACAGGAAAGCACATACTTCATTGGCCACTTATTAATCTCTTTAAGTGTCGTTTTCAAGAATGCAGAGATCAGTGCTTCTCAATGTCTAATGTTTACACAAGTCATCCAGGGATCTTGTTAATATGCCGATTTTGCTCACTTTCCAAGGGCCAGAGGAAGAAGCTAAAAGCAGGTGTCAGACGTGTCGGGAGGGCAGTAGGATCCAGAAGAGTAGAAAGGAAGTATGTAGGCCAAGCATGTAAAACCCGTGGCCCGCGGGCTGCATGCCTCATTTATTTGGCCCATGTTAGCCTTTGAGTTTGAGTTTGGCATGCTTCATATAGGCCATTTGTTTTGGGCCCAACTTCTGATATAGAAAGACATGGGTCTTGCATTCTCTAGTAATTACAGCACTTGGGTCAGTAAACTCCAAGTGAAGAAATCCTCTTAAAGGAGAAATGTGATAGAACATGGTATGAACACATACAGAGACCGAGTTGGCTAATTTGCTTTGATGTCTTTCGTGTATTTACAGATCCGATGCAGAGAGCACCGCGGTCCACCTGGAAGCTCTGAAGAAGCTGGCGTCGGCCTTGCAGGAGAGGAAGCAGGCCATCGAGGACCTGAAAGACAGAAAGCAGAGCGTGATCGAGCATCTGAATTTAGATGACAGGGACCTAGTCAAAGAGCAGACGTGTCACCTTGAACAGCGTTGGTCTCAGCTGGAGGACCTCATTAGCAGGAAAATCCAAGTCTCGGTCGCCAACCTGGAGGAGCTGAGCGTGGTGCAGGCCAGGTTCCAGGAGCTGATGGAGTGGGCGGAGGAGCAGCAGCCCAGCATCGCCGAGGCCCTCAAGCAGAGCCCCCCTCCGGACGTGGCTCCCAACCTTCTCATGGACCACCTCACCGTCTGCAGTGAACTGGAGGCCAAGCAGATGCTCCTGAAATCCCTCACGAAGGACGCGGACAGGGTGATGGCGGATCTCGGCCTGAACGAGCGGCAGGTCATCCAGAAGGCGCTCGCCGACGCACAGAGGCATGTCCATTGTCTCAGCGACCTCGTGGGCCAGAGACGCAAGTACCTGAACAAGGCCCTGTCCGAGAAGACCCAGTTTCTCATGGCGCTGTTCCAGGCGACCAGCCAGATCCAGCAGCACGAGCGAAAGATACTGTTTCGCGAGCACATCTGCCTGTTACCAGACGACGTGAGCAAACAGATCAAAGCCTGTCGGAGCGCCCAGGCCAGCCTCAAGACCTACCAAAGTGAAGTCACTGGCCTCTGGGCGCAGGGCCGTGAGTTGATGAAAGGAGCCACGGAGCAGGACAAGGGCGAAGTGCTGGGCAAGCTCCAGGACCTGCAGGGCGTGTACGACGCTGTCCTGCAGAAGTGCAGCCAGAGGCTCCAAGAGCTGGAGAAGAGCTTCGTGTCCAGGAAGCATTTCAAGGAAGATTTTGATAAAGCTTGTCACTGGCTGAAACAAGCAGACATTGTCACCTTTCCTGAGATCAACCTAATGAATGAGAGTTCAGAGCTGCAGGCACAACTGGCCAAATACCAGCACCTCCTCGAGCAATCTCCGGAATACGAAAGCCTCCTCCTGACCCTGCAGAGGACCGGGCAGGCCATACTGCCCTCGCTGAGCGAAGTCGATCATTCCTACCTGGACGAGAAGCTGAACGCTCTGCCCCAGCAATTTAATGTCATCGTCGCCTTGGCCAAAGACAAGTTCTACAAGGTCCAGGAAGCCATTCTCGCTCGGAAAGAGTACGCCTCCTTGATCGAGCTGACCACCCAGTCTCTGAGCGACCTGGAGGACCAGTTCCTAAAGATGAGCCCCGTCCCCAGCGCCCTGACGGTGGAGGAGGCGCTGTGCCTTCAGGAGGGCTGCAGGGTGCTCCTGGGCGAGGTGGTGGGCCTCGGGGAGGCCGTGGATGAGCTGAGCCAGAAGAAGGAAAGTTTCCGCAGCACTGGGCAGCCGTGGCAGCCCGACAGGATGCTGCAGCTCGTCGCCTCGTACCACAGGCTGAAGCGGCAGACAGAACAGAGGGCGAGCTTACTGGAGGACACCACGGCTGCGTATCAAGAGCACGAGAAGATGGGCCAGCAGCTGTGGAAACAGCTGGAGGCCGTGCGGGCAGAGCAGTCCCAAGTGAACGAGGAGACGCTGCCCGCGGAGGAGAAGCTCAAGCTGTATCACTCCCTGGCGGGAAGCCTCCAGGACTCGGGGATTCTGCTCAAACGCCTGGCCATGCATCTCGAAGATCTGGTCCCACACCTCCACCCCTCGGCTTACGAGAAAGCCAAGCAGCAGATCCAGGCCTGGCAGGAGGAGTTAACACTGCTGACTGCGGCCATCGGCGCCACCGTGACCGAGTGTGAGAGCCGCATGGTGCAGAGTATAGACTTCCAGACCGAGCTGAGCCGCTCCCTGGCCTGGCTGAGGGGTGTGCAGGCGGAACTCGGCGGGCCCGTGTGCCTGGACCTGAACCTCCGGGACATCCAGGAGGAGATCAGGAAGGTGCAGATTCACCAGGAAGAGGTGCAGTCCAGCCTCAGGATCATGAAGGCCCTGAGCGACAAGGAGACAGAGAGATTCACCAAAGCCAAGGAGCTGATTTCCGCCGACCTGCAGCACACGCTGGCCGAGCTCTCGGAGCTGGACGGAGACATTCAGGAAGCTTTACGCACCAGGCAGGTGGGTACGAGGGCTCCTCCTGTCTTCTCCCCACTCTGCTTATTTGTCGACGTGTGTGAGATATTTGTGTGTTGTTGTTTGTTAGAATTGCTGCCTTAAACATTTCTTGGATGATACTGTGTAGAATCATCTTTAACTGATGGTGACTCAAAAGGATGCTTTTACTGTTTACGGATGTGGTATTCATTTCATGTGATTCCCATGTCGGCCTCACTTAGTTATCATACAGTAACCCCTGCTATCTCTCACCTTTATGGGAGGTAATAAATGATAGCACTGATGGATTTAATACCGTGGTGAGGACATTAGCAATAAAATAAACAAATTAGCAATGATGAATTAGCGATGCCTTTTTAAACAATGCAAAACTTGGCATTTATAAGATTAGTATGGATGAAGAATCTCCAAATGGAGAGGGGCAGATGGATGATACAGCCCTGACCCTGATGCTGAGCCACGTTTTTTTCTGGGGTCTCCCATCAGTTGCCCCATCTGTTCACCCCTTCCTCGGGGAGGAGTGCTTCACCTTCTCTCGCTTCCCTGTGGCACCACAGAAGCAAGACTAGAATAGTCATCATGACTTTACTTGGGGATAAAGAAATGAGAGCTGCATAGCGTGTGGGAGTGTAGCTATCTCTTTAAGATAATGATTTTGTTTCCTTTGGATAAGTACCCAGAAGTGAAACTGCCGGATCATCTGGCAGTTGTACTGTATTTAATTTCTTGAGGAACTTCCATACTGTTGTCCACAGTGACTGTACTGGCTTACATTCCCACTGGTGTTGTTATACTTCTAACCAACGGAGACAGTATTTCACTTTGGTCAATATTCAGTCTGCCACATATGACTAAGCATTATTGTATGTGTAGTATGACGTACACATGTGAGAGGCAGTCTCAGAACTAGTCAAGATACCAGTATACATTTCTATTTCATTTCTGTCTCTGTTTACATATTTTAACTATAATAATACAATTATAGCAAGATTAGCAGAAGAGAAAACAAAGGATAACAATGGATTACACCAAAAAAAAAAAATCCACCAACTTTTCAGTTCACTTATACACATACATCCACATGACAAAGGACTGGAAAAGAACCGGAAAAATTCACGATTTTCTGCAAACACACTGCAATTGAGGGTTGATTGTGTTTGTAATGACTATCTTTCAGGCTACGTTGACTCAAATATATAGTCAATGTCAAAGGTACTATCAAGTGTTTCAAGCCGCGAGCGACTGGCTTGAGGATGCCCACGAGATGCTGCAGCTGGCAGGCAGCGGCCTGGACGTGGAGAGTGCGGAGGACAGTCTCAGAAGCCACACGGAGTTTTTTAGCGCAGAGGATCAGTTCCAGAGTAACCTGGAGGAGCTCCATGGCCTGGTTGCCACCCTGGACCCACTCATCAAGCCAACTGCCAAAGAGGAGCTTGCACAGAAAATGACGACCCTGGAGGAGAAGAGCCGGAGGGTGATCCAGGACTCCCACGCCCAGCTCGATCTCTTGCGGAGGTATTGGAGTGGTTTTAATCGCTGTAATCTAGTGAAATGTGAGGGTGTTTTTTTAAATTTGTTTTGTTTTTTTTTTAAATATATTTTTATTGATTTCAGAGAGGAAGGGAGAGGGAGAGAGATAGAAACATCAGTGATGAGAGAAAATCATAGATCGGCTGCCTCTTGCACACCCCCCACTGGGGATGGAGCCCATAACCCCGGCATGTGCCCTGGCTGGGAATCGAACCATGACCTCCTGGTTCCTAGGTCGATGCTCAACCACTGAGCCACACCAGCTGGGCAGAAATATGAGGTGTTTTGAAATGAATTTTCACACAGAAAACAGGAATATAATAATGAACATCCACACCAAAGTTCATGCTTCTCTCTTGAGTGCCCTCAGGCATATTGATGTCAGAGCTCTGTGACTGGGATTTGATGTTGCTTACTGGTTTTTGTTGCACCTTTTCAAGGTGTGCAGCTCAGTGGCAGGATTACCAGAAAGCAAGGGAAGAGGTTATCGAATTGATGAATGCTGCCGAAAAGAAGTTGTCTGAATTTTCTTTACTGAAGACTTCTTCCAGTCATGAAGCAGAAGAAAAACTGTCCGAGCACAAGGTTAGTTGTGTGGTTGTTTTTAGCGTCCTTTCATTGTCTTTGTAGAGTCTCAGTGATACTGCAGTTCCAGAATCAGGTCAATCCATCTTCACCGGGGCTCCTTAAACACGAAAAGGATACATTAAGCATGTTTCGTAGCAGTTTTTACTTAATTGCATGCTGTCTGTCACTTTTTTTTAGGATTCAGTTGGAAATGCACAGCTGGTTTTAAAAACACATTCAGAGCAATTGCTTCTGATAAAGTGCGATGCAATGAATTCCAGTAAATCCTTTCTGGTGATAACTTAGATGAATTCAAATACAATTTAACAAATAGTAGCGAAGTCACCCTCATATATCATAGCAATATAACATAGATTATACCATCCTTAAATACTAAACTCAGTTCCCTTATATTTTTGCTGCCTTTTAAAAATGGGAGAATTCCATCTCAAGTAGCAAATAAACTTTGGTTTTTAATAAATATTCACCTTGCCTCTTTCAAAAAAAAAAAAATCCAAGCCTGACTCAATGAAGAATTCGATGTCAAAGTAAGAGTTAGCAGAAGAAAAAAGAATATATGTTGTGACATTTCCTTTTGCAGGTAATTGTGGGCTTTCCTCATATCCATAGAACTTTTGAAAAAAAATCTCTCCCTCACCCTCTTCTCCTCCCCACCTTAGGCTTTAGTGTCAGGGGTTCACTCCTTCCACGAGAAAATCGTGGCCCTGGAGGGTGAGGCTTCGCAGCTGGAGAAAGCCGGCAACGACGCCAGCAAAGCGACCATCGGCAGATCCATGACCACGGTCTGGCAGCGCTGGGCGCGGCTCCGGGCGGTGGCCCAGGACCAGGAGAAGATCCTGGAGGACGCGGCGGATGCATGGAAGAACCTCGGCAAGAAGGTGATCTCCTTCGTTAATGGGCTCAGGATCGTTTCCTCCCTGATGATCGTGTATTTTGAAAAGCAATGTTTTGCTTTTGTTTTCAATTGGCTTTATGAAAGCACAAAGCGTTTTCCCCCCACATCTCTATTTCGATGGCATGAAAACCAAGTTATGCAACACCGTACAATAGGCAGTCTGCAATGTAGTCCCAAGTCAGGGTCCAATCATTTTAATAAGAAAACCAAGAAATGAAATTTTGAAAGGAGGACAAACCCACTTTCCTCCATTTGCCAGTCTCTTAGTGAAATGTTCGCCCTGAAAAATTATAAAATACGTCTTTCTTTGCCATGGAAATGAGCAGGAATTTAACCAATGTCCCAAGTCCTATATTAATTTTTTTCATCTTTTAAGTAGGATCCAACATTTGAAGACACATCTTCCTTTATAAATATTGAAGTTTTTCATTTGTCCTTTACTTAAAAAACACACACACTTTTTCTATGTTATGCAATCTCTGCTAGCCCTGGTATTATTTTGAGATTAAAGCTTTAAACCCAGAATTATAAAGATGGTTTTTCCTTTCATGTCAAGAAGACTGTCCAGGCTTTAGTTTCCTGGGATTTAGAGTTTATACCCTCATCTTTAATGAGCTTTGATGCACTAGTGCAGTGGTTCTCAACCTTCCTAATACAGTTCCTCATGTTTTGGTGACCCCCAGCCATAAAATTATTTTCGCTGCTACTTCATAACTGTAATGTTGCTACTGTTATGAATCGTAATGTAAATATCTGATATGCAGGATGTATTTTCATTGTTACAAATTGAACATAATTAAAGCATAGTGATTAATCACAAAAACAACATGTAATTATATATGTGTTTTCCGATGGTCTTAGGCGACCCCTGTGAAAGGGTCGTTCGACCCCCAAAGGGGTCGCGACCCACAGGTTGAGAACCGCTGCACTAGTGTCAAATGTGTGTTCATAGGAGTTGCCCCATGTTTTCAGTTTATTTTTTAGCTTCATGTTACATACATTTTTCATCAGGTTAAGAAAGCCACTGACACGATCAATCAGCTAGAAGGCAAATTACCGGGAAGTTCGGCAGAGAAAGCCTCAAAAGTGGAACTCTTAGCTCTGCTGGAGCATCACGACACGTTCACGCTGGAGCTGGACCAGCAGCAGGCGGCCCTGGGCATGCTGCGGCAGCAGGCGCTGAGCATGCTCCCGGATGGGGCCACTCCACCCCCCGGGGAGGAGCCGCCCGTCATGCAGGAAATCACAGCCATGCAAGATCGGTGCCTGAAGTAAGGATACGCCCTTCATTCTGTTACTGAACCCGGCCATGACCCAAAGGGATGAGTGTGGTTTTGGAGTCTGGGGGTGCTCCATCATGCCACCTTACAGTTGGGGGAGGGGGGGCCTGTTCCCTTCCTCCCTGCTCCCCATTTTTCTTAGCTCTTCAATTATTTATCCAACAAACACATATCTAGTAGTATTTAGAAATACAGGGATGAACCGAACAGATTCAGTCGGTGCCTTCATGCTGTTCACAGTCAAGCGGCAGAGATGGGCAACTACAGGGGCCGTTTGGGTAAAGCATGAAAAGGGTGAGAAAGGAACCCAAAGCAGAGACAAGGGGCCTAGGAGGGCAGGCACGGCAGGCTCTCCTCAGCTGAAGACCGAGCAGCTGGAGGCAGCCAGGGGAGAGGAGAATTGTGCAAAGAGGGGGAGAGCCTGTAGGAAACCTTGGAAGTGAGCATGTCACTTTCAGGGAACTGCTGGGTGATGCAGCTCTTCCTGAGAAACAAAGCTTGAAAGCTGAACAATTGAGGGCTACTTAGAACCTGGTTCTGAAAAGCTTGGTAACTCACTGGCTAAACTGGAACTGAGAGATCAGAACAAGGATGATGCCAAAGTTCAGGCAAATAGGCCTTTTCGCACTTTGTAGCTAGAGGAAGTAAACTTAATGATGTATAACCAGCCTGATTCACTTATGGGGCCAGAGAAGAAATGTCAATAGATAATTTACCTGCTGTATTAGCTACTATTATTCATACATGTCCTACTTCCACCTCTTCAGTTATAGAAGAATTCAGGGTAATTGGGCTCCACTTATTTAAACTTTTTGACCAAATTTATGTCAATTCAAAGAAAGACTTACAATTTGGGTGTTGAACATTATTAACTGTAACATTTCCAAAGCTTGACTTCAATGACTGGTTTCTAATGGCCTCAGATATTCCAATTACACATTACTTTTAAAGGCTGATGACCCCAATTCATGTGAGTCGATTTCTGGAGAGAAACTAAATAAACAATGTCCCGGTTATTTTGCATAGAACATTAATTGCAATGTAGTAGCAGTGGAGTGTGTCAGTTCTCAATTTTCCAGGGAAAAATCATTCACTTCACCTGATATATATTCTTCCAGTATACTTGGACCAAACGTAAGTCTTACTGAAAATTACCTGACAGTTTTGGGGACATGAACTTAGTTGCAAAAAGATATGAGATTTCACCTTTTAAAAAAATGTCTGCTTTGGATAATATAATGCTGTGAGCTAGGGGTTCCTTTCATTTCCAGTTCACTTCTGCTTTCTCCCTGAAATGTTTCTGAAGCATGCAGGAGAAAGTGAGGAGCCACGGCAAGGTGGTGAAGCGGGAGCTGAAGGACCGAGAAGGGGTGGAGACTCAAATCAATTCTGTGAAATCTTGGGTTCGGGAAACGAAGGAATATTTGGAGAATCCAACAATAGAAATAGATGCTCAACTTGAAGAACTTCAGGTAAAAAACTCTCCTCATTCCTTGTACCTATCATGAAAAAATTGCCCTGATTTTAATATGACACATTTGTTTAGAATATTGAATTAAAAATTTTCAGAAATGTGTTATATAAGAGTCTTTTAGTATTATTTGATGGGGTTTTTGTTTGTTCTGTATAAAGTGGACATGTTTCTTATTCAGAGGCTAAAGAAAAGCTTGGTTTTTCTTAAGATGTCTCTCTAATTCCACATTTAATCATGTACTGATGGACAATACATTGTCCTGTCTCTATACCCATGGAAATTTCTTTAGGCTCCCAGACATTTCTTGTTTTGATCTTTTCTTCAGATTCTCCTAACAGAAGCCACAAAGCACCGACAGAACATTGAGGCAGTAACCGAGGAGCAGAAGACCAAGTACTTGGGTCTTTATGCTATACTACCTTCTGAGCTCTCCCTGCAGCTAGCGGAGGTGGCATTGAACCTAGGAACTGTCCATGATCAGGTAAACTTATGCCCAAGAAAGAGTGCCTTTCCCTTCTTTCATAGGCTCAGGGTTCTTGTACAAGAGTTCTTGATTTTCACAAGGACTTCATTATGGATAGAGAGTTTAAAATCTGATCAGCGTAAAACAATACTGTTGCCCTGGACAGTGTGCTCAATGGTTAGAGTGTCTGCCTGCACACTGAAGAGTTGCTGGTTCGATTTCCCATCAAGGGCATGTATGTAGGTTGCAAGTTTGCTCCCTGTCCCCTGTTTGGGGCGCATGCAGTAGGCAGTCAGTCGATGTGTCTCTTTCACATCATTGTTTCCCTCTCTCCCTTCTCTCTCCCTCCCTTCTACTCTCTCTGAAAAAGCAATGGAAAAAATATCCTCAGTTGAGGATTAACAAAACAAAAAAACAATACTGTTAAATTAGATAAAACACATACACACCCGATGATCACAGACATGAACAATAATCTATACTAATAAAAGGTTAATATGCTAATTATACTGGGCATCTTCTGAACGACCTTCTGGACATCCTTCTGGACAAAGCCATGGTGGCAGGGCCGAGGCAGAGGTGGTTAGGGGTGATCAGCCGGCAGGGGAGAGCAGTTAGGCCGATCAGGCGGGCAGGCAGGTGAGGGGTTAGGAGCCAGCGGTCCCGGATTGCAAGAGGGTGCAGGCTGGGCTGAGGGACGACCTCCCCCATGTTCACGAATTTTGTGCACTGGGCCTCTAGTATCATATAATTAGAAATAACTTATCTGCTTTTCCTTACCTTTTTCAAAAAAACAAAAGACTTAACGGAACAACAACAAAAATAAGATATATATACCACGTGTTTAACAAATATTCATTGAGTGCCCAGAGGCTACCAGTCACCCTTCTAGGTGTATTACAGCCTTTCATTTATACAAAGAGAAAATTTCTTTACCTTTTTTCCTTTGGCATTTTATTATAAGCAAAGTATGAATATTTGTTATCAAATCAAACCACAGCCATTAGAAACATGTAAATGTTAACTGTCCTTTTTCCCCTTCCCCTGGAGGTGCTTAATGTTCTCTTGTCATCCTTTCGGGACGCGACTGCAAAGTTAGACAGTTACCAGGTCATTAGCAGCTGCTCATGGAAAGGTGCTTGGAAATGTGTGTGCGTTCCAGTTATAAAGGAGAGTTCTGAATATTATGAAGAAAAATTCTTAGAGGAGGAGTCTGTGTGCTGAAGGTCACAGTGTTAGTGAACAGAGATTCGGGCTCCGCTATCTACATGGCCATCTATGCAGACGCTAAATATTTGATGAGTGAATCACTGTACATGAGTTGCTTGTTTTGTTCCTTTACTGAAAGAGCAGCAGAAAGACCTGCAGCGAATGCTTGAAGATGGGGGAGGGAGGCTGCATGGAAAACATGTGAGTTTGTAACTACAGGGGCTGCTTCGACAAAGCTCATAGATGCCAAAGCAGCAGGAACCACCTGAAACCTCTCGTCAACAATGAGGTTTTTCGTATGTTACCCAAGTTTAACCATGCTTGGTTTTGCTGTTCTCATTGATTGTTTAGATCCAGGACAGAGTAAAACAAATTGAACAGAGCAAGGCCACGAGCCAGGAGTTCAGCCAGCAAATTCAGAAGATAACCAAAGATCTCACAACTATTCTAACTAAGCTGAGAGCAAAGACAGATAACTTAGTTCAAGCTAAAGCTGACCAAAAGGTAAGGAAAGAGAACTGGGAACACAAGGAGTGCTGCTGAATGCATTCAGTATTTTTTGGGAGTTAGTACATTTTGGGAATATCTTTTTTTCTTAAAAAAGAGCTCTTTGATCAGCAAGCTTCCTTAAAACCAGACAGTAAAGAGAGGCAATCAAGAAACTATAAATATGATAGCATAGATCTATTTACATGATATAATTTATCATCACAATTGAACTTTATTCATAAATATACATGCCTGTGTGGGTAAGCAGGAGAAGTGTCAGAGAACTCAATGATGAGTTAGGAATACGGGTATGTCAATTCCAAGGATGTTCTTAGGAGCTCAATCTGAGTTCTCGCTCTGCTGATGAGCTAAGTGACTAATCCTTTTGGGTGGAGCTGAAGGAAAATGTGAGCTCTCAGCCTCACAGGAAATAAACACCAGGGTTGCCAAACACCCTGCTCTGACTTCCACCCCAAGAAATGGAAATGACCTGATCATGGCCATACAAATCATTTGTATTTGTCTTATACTAAGATCATTTAATATCCTTCTGAACTTGAAAAATCTGGAGACATTTATTTCCTGTAGTCTGATGTTCTTTCATTTTGATGACCACCTAGGTGCTAGGGGAGGAATTGGATGCCTGTAACTTAAAGTTAATGGAACTGGATGGAGCCATACAAAAGTTCTCGGAACAGAATGGCCAACTGGGTAAGCCGCTGACCAAGAAGGTCGGGAAACTGACGGAACTCCACCAGCAGACCAGCAGGCAGGCTGAGACTCGGTTCTTCAAGCTCAGCCAGGTATGTGTTCCAGGCCAGGAATCCAACTTCTCAAGGGCAGAAATTCTCTGTTCTGTTTTCCTCTTTTGAAAATAAATAAAAAGATGATATTGACAATGGTGAGAATAATTTATTAAGAGTAGCTTATTTCATACAGCACTTGTGTTCCTAAGAATTAGACATACAGAACCTGCCTTTATTTGATATCAAGCCATATCATAAATTTATTGACAAAGGTGGTCATGTAAGTACACTTTTGGGGTGAATATTTTGTAAACTGGGAAAGTATTTTGTAAAATGTATATTCATCCATTAATATTTCACAATTCAGTTTGTGTGAATTCAAGTATCTTAAAGTAAGATATGTATATAGATATACAGATAATATTTAATAGCTATCATTTACTTAATAGGTTCAGGTCACACACATCCATCATAATTGTTGAGTATAGACTCAACTGTTGCTAATCAATTGTGTATGTTTTCTGTAACCAGGGACAAGTTCAATTAGGATTTGGCAACCAATGAATGACAATATTGAAACCTGGAATGCCATAATCCCCACCCTCAGTGAGGGTGGAGTACAGAAGGGGGGAGGCAGAAAAGGGAGCTAGATAGATGAACAAGAGATAAGAAGAGAGAACTTTCTTTAAAGACAGATTATTCAAGCATATGAAGTACTTGGACTTTACCCTAAAGTCACTGGGAAGTCCTTGCAATATTTCAACAAGGACATGCTTTTTCGTGATACCTTTTGTAAACTGAAAAAGGGGGGAGGATTCCTATGCAAAGTAACCTTCCCTGGGTGCCAATTGTAAGTTACTAACTGGGCAGGTCATGGTGGGGAGTCCCACCCCAGGCCTATAACTTCTTTAGTGAAAGATTTTAAGCCAGCCCTCCCTGTCCACTGTTCTTGTGCTTCTAGAATAGCACACCTTTAAAATAAACCCTAACCAAGAGAGCATATAATCTTTTAACTACCCTGTAATCCAATTACCACCTTCTAATCTTCTCCAGTCTTCCTTCCATACCCACCTTAATTTTTAAAAGAAGCTGCAAAGCTGTTATTCTGTGAGATCTTGCTCCCTGCCATAGGTCATCGGTTACCTCAAATAAACTAATAAAAATTATCTATGGGTTTGGACGTTTCTTACGTTGACAACTATAGGACTATTGTATCAAAAAAGAGACAGAAAATTGATTTAAAGTTCAAGAAATAGAGGTTTCATTTGTTATCTGAATGTTAATGATTTTTTTAGGCAACATCACATTTAGAAGAATACAATGAACTGCTTGAATTCATTTTGAAGTGGATTGACAAAGCTAAAGTATTGGTACATGCAAAGATTGTGTGGAATTCTGCAAAACAACTTCGGGAACAATACATTTCACATCAGGTAACTTGGGTAAAAATAGTTTTCAAAGAGTAACTAAAGGAGCAGCTTAATTTAAGTGAAAAAACTGAGAAAACTTAGAGGTCTGTAATGCCAAATTACTGTAGGTGCTAGATTTAAAAAAAAGAAAGAAAGAAAAAGAAAAAAAAAGAAAGAAAGCTAAGGTAGCCCTATGACTTGTCCAGTCGTTTGACAGTAGCTACCTGTGAGATTTCATAAGACTGTATAAATAAATGGATACCTCCCCTAGACTTTCCTTTCTCAAGACAAACATAATTGCTTCATTTTTTGCTGCTGCTTTGAAACAGTTGTATGCTGGGATACGGTGGGGAATTCTTCCCCATGAAGAGATATAGTGACCGACAGAAAGATTATGTAGGCTCCAGTAAGATTCCTGGGAAAACCCAGCTTTGCCATTTAGGGCGGTGTGATTTGGAAGAAACTACTTTCCCTCTCTGAATTCAGTCTTCCCATCAATATGATGGAGATGCGAGTGATTTATCCTGCAGAATTAGTACAAGGATCAAATGGTAGAGTTCATGCGCAGACATTAAGCACATGATCTGACACGTGGGTGTTGAGCTCTCCGGCCTCCGCCTTCTCAGCCCTCCGCCTGGCCTGTCTCCTGGCCTTCCACAGGAAGTGGTGGTCAACTGGGAACCAGAAATGAGTCCGCATCACAAGGTGGCCGCATTGCTTCATTTCCTCTGCAGCTTTCTCTGGGGCATGTCATCCAGGAAATTATTTCATTCTTTTATAACTCGGGTTTGAATTAGATATAGATATCTAATAGCTCAGTTATCTTGCAGTAAATTACAAAATGCCTTTTTTAAGTTACATGGATACCCTCAAGTATTTTAGGTTTTCTCTTTCTTTTATTCTGATTTCTGTATGCTTATGTCTTTTAAATCTATCCTCCTATCTATTCCAGTTGACAGGATTCTAAGATTAAAGCCTCATTTTCTCCCTGGACTTCTTTAACAGGCTTCTAATTGGTTTCCTGTACCCACAGTCTTTCTTCTATAATCAATCACACACACTCTCTCAATAAATCTTTCTTAACAACCCCAATCTTCTACTTGGAGATATGCTTACATATTAACAGACCAGACTTATGATACAACTGGGTTGTAAACAATGAAAAAAATATTCAGCCTCATTAGAAATCTACAAATACAAATTTAAGAGAGAGAACACATTGTAACAATCAAGTTAAAACTGTTCATTAAAGTTTATATTTAAAGAAGCGAGAGCTCTCACATACTCCTGGTAACCTGATAAAATCTCTTTGAAAAACAATTGGCAGAATGGATCATGATCATCAAAATGTTCCTACTCCATAGTCCACAATGTAGAAAATATTTTATGCAGGATTAGTCACGAGAGTGAAATTTGTGGAATTTTAAAGGAAACATAACATAAATGTCAGTTCATTTATCTGAGTAAATTTTTGGATATAATAGAATAGAATGCAATCTTTAAAATAAATATTTTATGCAGGATTAGTCACGAGAGTGAAATTTTAAAGGAAACATAAATGTCAGTTCATTTCTCTGAGTAAATTTTTGGATATAATAGAATTGAATGCAATCTTTAAAACGACCATAAAGGCTTTTTCTTTCAAATAACTCCTTTGCTCATTTGTTTATTCAACAAACATTTATGAAGTATTTTTCAAAGGTAGGAATTTCAGGAGGCACTTGGAGTACAAACAGTATTTCCTGTCCCTGCCCCCCGAGGGAGTTGATAATTAAAGGGAGGACTGAGATAGACAGATCTAGACAGTAACACTCCAGGTGATGGTGATGCAGCCATTAAGGGATCGAGTTGCTGAAGGAGCCCAAAGGGGGGTGGTCCACCCAGGCTGCCCGGTTTGAGAAGGTTAAAGAATTGTCCTCAGGAATAGGTGATTCTGGGCTGAGTCCTGAAAGACAGGCAGCCCACCTGTAGTATAAGAGCGAGGGGAGCTCTTCGTGGTGCACTGGAAGGAGCACTCTGGGGGGAAGGCGTTGAGGAAGGGGCTGGTAGAAAGAGGCCTCGGAGGTTAGAGTAGAGATCGAACGAGAAGGCAGATCATGGAAGCTGGGTAAGCACTTGGACTTGATCCTAAACTCATGCTGAAGCCTTTGACAGATGTTCTGCAGGCAAGTGACAAATACAGACTTGTATTTTTAAGGAAGATGACTAAACTGCCCCGTGGAAATGAGCAGGTTAATGAAGGCAAGAAGACATAGGAGGTGATTGATTAGAAGGTGGCTGTAGTATTCCAGGAGGAAGCGACAAGGCCTCTCTTTGGAGGCTGAGAGAAGACACAAGCAAGGGGTGTTACTGAGCTAGAATTCCGAATGTGGAGACTGTGGGAGTGGCTGAATCGGGGGAGGAGCCAAGGACAATTCCCAGGCTTGTTTGACCTGGGCAGTTGGGTGGGTTGAGTACAGATGGACAGATACCGGGTGTTGGTGGTTACCTCCCACGAGACTCAGGAGAGAACTCTGGCCTGCACACACTGTTCCAGCGAGTTCTCCTGTGCCTGCCTTCGTAACTGAAGCCACCTGAGTTTATCCAAAAACAGTGCACAGAGAGAAAATGCATGTTTCCAATGTCAGGTGAAAAAGAAAGATGGAAAATTGTACGTGGGTTAATATCTCTGTTACCTAGAAATGTACCCACACGTAACAGCAGTTATAGCTTACTTAAAGTTATCTCTCAGGTATGGGATTATGGAAAGTTTTATTTATACACTAGAGGCCCAGTGCACGGATTCATGCACTGGTGGGGTCCCTCGGCCTGGCCTGCACCCTCTTGCAATCCGGAATCCCTTGGGGGATGTCAGACTGCGGGTTTCGGCCCGATCCCTGCAGGCCAGGCTGAATCTGTGCATATAAGATCTTTGGTTAATCTCTTCCTGCCCTCCCCTTCCCCACTTCCTTCTGAGATTCATCAGTCTGTTCCGTGTTTCCATGCCTATGCATTGAGCTTCTGCCCCCTGGTGGTCAGTGCACATCATAGCTACCGGTCCAACGGTCAAACAGTCGCTTAGGCTTTTATATATATACATATACAGGGTGGGCAAAGTAGGCTTGCAGTTGTGAGTATGTGAAACAGAGTTCATTCTTTTATTATTTAATAATTACTATATTATTTATTTATATTATAATGGTAAACCTACTTTTGCCCACCCCATATATAATGTTTATTATGAGAAAAAGTGTACTCTATTTTTTAAAAATGTTTTTTTATTGATTTCAGAGAGGAAGGGAGAGGGGGAGGGAGAGATAGAAGCATCAATGATGAGAATCACTGATCCCTGCTTCCTGCAGGGACCCCACTGGGGATCAAACTGTGACCTCCTGGTTCATAGGTCGATGCTCAACCACTGAGCCACACGGGCTGGGCTGTACTCTTCTTTTTAAAATCAGAGTCTATTGCCTAAGACTAATGCCCCACCTCCCACTTGTCTATGCATCACTCACCCAGGACCTGCCCACATTGTGCCTACTCCCCTCTGTGCTTTTGCCTGCGCTGCTCCCCGTCGGTCAGCATGCAGGCATCCTTCAGACTGGGCTCCAAGTGAGGCTCTTCCAGGAAGCCTTCTCCAACTGCCTGCAGTGCATCTCACCTCTGTCCTCCTCACCCCTGTCTTCTCTTTCATTCCACTCAGGCCGTGCACAGCACATGGTTGTCAATCCATTCATGTTAGTCCTGCTCCCAGTAGATGGTACGGTCCTGAATGACCAGGGCGTGTTTCATTCCTCTAGGGATCCTAGGTTGCCTCTATCCCCTTGTCTCATTTAAGGCGAGTGAGCAAAATTTTGTTGTTTGTTTGCAGAGCTCTTGTTTTATTTTCATTTCGTAGGTATAGAGTATGAGAGCTAAAATGCATCTCCTTCATTGAAATACGTGTGATGAAAAACAGGAGGCCCAGCGGCCTGAGGAAGCCACCCTATGTGCAGAGCACATGCTGGGATGCTCTGCTCCTACCTTCGCCAGGGAGCAGCTCGGGGTGGTAGGCAGAGCCCGAGCCTCATGGTCCAACACTTAATAACAC